ACCACCACCACCCCCTCCCTGCCCAGGTCAGGCTGGCCCCAGCCGCCACGGAACCGGTTGCTAAATCCCCGGTAAAGCAGCAAGAGGAGGTGGGAAGGACCGAGGGACGCGGGCGGCTGCCCTCTGGGACGTTTGCAACCAGCTTCATCTCACCCTCTTCCAGCGCAGTTTGGCCGTACCCTTTCAGTGAGGGCTCGCCCCGAACCCTGCTCAGGTTTTCGGCTGACCCATGGCTCTCGCTAAAGCCTGATGCGTGCAGGGAGCAGCGTCATCAGGTCCGAGCGAGGGCAACACGTAGGCAGGCCACGGTGGCCCGCGAGAGCTAAAGGTCACCCTGCAGCCACTGTCACCTGCAGGTCGCCGCCTCCTGCCACCGGCATCCTCGCGCACCGCTCCTCTGGCTCTTCCTGCGGAATCCGCTACCTGACGGCAACGGCACAGACCAAATTCCCAAGGTGGAAGGTATAAATACACCACCTTACCCCCAAAAAAGAGGTTTTGAAGCGCATCCGAGAGCCGCCGGGCTGGCTGACGGCCGGGGCTGCCCGTGCCGCGGAGGAGGAGGAGCGGTGAGCATCCCCACCGACAGCCGTTCTGCTCATCATCAGCGCCCGAGTTACCAGCCGGGATTTAGAGAACGTGTGAGTTAGAAACCTCAGGGATTCAGTGACGGATCTGTGGACTCATGTGGCTTTGCTGGCACTTCCTCCGCCGCCTCCCCCCGGCCCCAGGGCGCGCGGGAAGCCCCTCTGCCGGATCGAGAAGCACCAAGATGAGATGTCCCCGAGAGACCGTGACCCGAACATCACAGCCCATGTTCCATGGCACCGCGGGAGGTTTTTTTGCCTCGGGCTGTTTTGCTGAAGTCGCCCAACCCATCGGCTTTGGGGATTGTCCCCTGCTGTCACCCGTCCCGTCCCCAGAGAGGGCAGAGGCAAGCGCCCGCCATCCAGCTGGCTGTATCGCGTTGCCGTCCTGGCGCGGACAAGACTGGATCCGATTCCAGCTGACCTGAAAACCAGGCTGGGAAAGGGCTGGGAGGGCACGCGGGAGGGAGGTGATGCCGCTTCCCACGCTCCCAACCCCCTCCGCCTCCTCCCAGCCCATCTTATCGCCGTGGGACACCGCGGCACCGACCGGCACTGAGCTGCTGCCGCATCCGGCGCCCACGGGTGGGTGTGTGGGCACCCACGGGCACCCTGGGCATGGGCTGGACCGGCTGCAGAGGACCTCACCTGCAGGAGATCTTCGCTCAAAACCTCCGTCTTCTCAGCCCTGCAAGACAAGAAAGAACATAAAGCGCTGGCGAAGGGTCCGGCGCAGGCGGCAGCGCCGGGGCTGCACGCTGCGGTACCAGCCGCGGCCGAACGTGCTTTTCCATCGGGATGCTGCCGATGATTTATGGCTCTCCGGTCCCGCCAGCCATCGCCTCATCTCCTAAATAAGCAAAGGATGGAGCATCCTCACAGCTCGCTATGAGCATGGCACATCCCACACCAATTTAGGGTTCTCCCCTCATCTCCCCTTTATTTTTCCATTATCCCCAGGAAAACAGGGATGCTAAATTCCCAGGAGGATGCGGGTGGTGCTGCAGGGGGAGGCGGTGTGTCTAGGCATGAAAGCAGGTCCCAAGGCCGTGCCGGGCTCCGGTGCACCCTCAGCGCTGCGGATTTCAAGGACACAACCCGTCTGCACGACTGAGCCTCTTCGGTCCAACGCAGCCGACCGAATCCGCGGCGGCAGCTGCTGCCCAGGGCTTCGCCGCAACCCTCCCTCCCCGCTGCTCCTCGGAGCCGGATTTACCGCTCCAGAGCTCGTGTCATCCGCCACCTTTGCTAAGCGGGGGGATGCAGGAGGAGACACGATCCCACTCCAGACCCTCCTCGGCCACGCACGGAGCCGCAGCATCTCTGCCCGCGAAGGCTCCTCACCACATCTGCTCAGGCCTATTTAAACCATCACACTCTGCATCGTTTATTCATTTTCTCAGTTGTTTTTTTTTTTTAAAAAAAAAAAAACTTTAGTGCATCATCTCTCTTAGTTGCGATTTAGCCAATTAATCCCTAAAGGTTCATTACCAAACAACGAAAGCTCAGGGAAAAAACAAAACACCTTTATCACCTGAGCCCTGGTTGCTTTCTGTTATCCAAACTGCTTTGTCAGCTTTGAGAAACCGAGGGAAGTATTGAAAAAGTGGAAATAAGGAATGAGCAGCAGCAGAGCGAGGTTCAAAGACCGAGCCCGGCCCGGCAGCGGTGTCAGCCAGGGCAGGGCTCGGTCTACGGGCTCGTCCACAAACACACCACGTCCAAAGGCTTTTAAAAAGTGTAAATTAACTGCATTAAATCTGGCTTAGGAAAGTTGTCCCATTGTCTGATATAAGTTGGTTTTAAAAATTAAAAAAAAAATAAAAATCCACTCCTATTTACTTTCTTTTTTTAAAAAAAAAAAAAAAAAGGAATTTAAATGAAGGCATTATATCTTCTATATGAAGTGCAAGCGATGCCCTGGCCGCCCAGGAGCAAGGGCTGCTCAGGTTCTCCTCCTCCTTTGCAAACCACCTCCACTATCATTCATGGAAACGCCACGGAATTAGCACCAACGGGAAAGAAAGCAGCAGATATCCACCGGCACAGACACAACGGCCGTCCCTGCTTCCCCGCCCCGGCTCAGGATATATTTAGCATCCCGAAGGAGAAGGCGGTGGCAGGGATGCAGGCGAGCATCGCGCGCTCACGTGCAGGCGCTGCCGGAGTGCATCCCTGCCACCACTGCATCCCACCACTCCGCACCCCAGAAATCACTTCCAACCTTCGGAAAGGCCCTGGGAGAAAGAAGTCCCTCCCGTCCTTGCACCACTGGGAAAACGGTCCCCCAAAAATGATGTTTTTAGTGTGTTTTCCCCTCTTCCAGCCAGGCTGATGGATGGGTTTTGCCCACCGGTGGGTCTCTCTCCCAGAAGCCACAAACCAACCTGTGCTACGCTCTGACGTGCACCGGGGAAGCAGAAAACAACATTTCAAACAGAATAACGAAAAAATCTGGCCTTGTTCTGCTTTCAAGCACATCCACAGCGCGAGAAACCTCAGCGGCTTTCACGGCGAGCATCCCTCAACCACAGCCCCGGCGCAGACCCCCGCGCCAGCCCTGCCACATCCCGGGACGCTTAAGCACTTTGAGGAGCCTGCCGGTGATTAACTGGGCTTTAAAAAGCAGGGAGAAAAGAGGCTGCGGCATTTTCTGGATAGGAATAAGCAAAGAGGCTGTGGGAGCCGCTCGACACAGCTGCCCGGGGATGTGGCAGAGTACTGGGCACACCGCGGGAGGATGGGTTTCCCTGCCTGGTTTCGGCATCTCCGGCAGCTGGGATGCTCTCTCCTCCCCTCTGGCTTGCGATGGGGATGGAGGTCTCTGCGTGGCCTTGGGGACACGCCGCAGCCACCGCCAACAGGCACAGGACAGAGCTGCGGTGGACCAGCATCACTCGCGGCGGTGGTAGCCGGGTACCATGTCCTGCCGGTGCCGAGCGCCAGCGTCCGCAGCCAGGCATCGCCCCGCTCCCCGCGCTTTGTCTTGCAGAATGGGGTAAAACGTGGCCCCAAAAGCCTCCGCGGGGATTTTTGCAAAGCCAAAGCAGGGGACAGGTCTCCTGCCTCGGGGCACCTGGACCCTACGGGGGATGCTGGCGGCTGCAGGGGCACAGAGCTCTTGCGGGAGAGCCCGGCTCCGCGGATGCAGCTCCATCGAATGCGGTTTAGCAGCTGCAAGCGGGACAGATCCCACTCCTGTCACACTCCTGCTGACAATGCCACTCTGCTGATGTCCTGCCACCCCACCTAAAGCTGCTTATTAGTTTTCCAGAATGCACCAAAGAAATACAAATAACCCCCCTTGTCTCTGTACTTGCTCCCGCCGGCAGCGCTCCAGAACCTGAAAATTACATCCAGGCGTGCAAGAACCCAGCAGCGTCTCCAAACCCACAGAACGCCCAACCCAAGCTGCTCCGCGTGCCCATTTCACGTGCAAAGACTACAAAATATCATCCTACTCCGCTGACATCGCGTTACATTACCGCTCCATGCTGCTAATGCCACCGGGAAAAATCCCATTACACCCGTTACGTTTCTAAAGTCTCAGCCTAAAGTTAATACGGTTTTACAGGAGCTTAGGTGGTTTTATGAGCCATCCTGCGAACCTGCAACAAGTGATGCTCGGCGGCAAAACACCGGCACGCACGTCCTGCCAGGGAGCAGCCGGGGAGACGGAGACTCTCCTGCGTGCCCCTGGCTCTGTCCTGCCCAGAGAGTGGTTTTTGGGTGCTGAGCTCTGACCGGCACTCAGAGATGCTAAAGGAGACCCTGGTGCCCCAGTGCCACCTCCCCGGTACCCAGGAATTTCCCTGGGGCACCCAGTGGGGAGGGAGAAATATTATCCCGCTGCCTTTTCTAGGGGTGGGATGGCAGCATCTCTCCGAGGGTTTTGGGAAAGCGGGTTCAGCCCTGAGCATCTCCGCTCAGCCCCTCCTCACCAACAAACCTCTCTGGTTTGTGCTTTCTTCTCCTTCCCCACGTCGTGCTCCAAACAGCATCCCACTCGCGGACGGCTGTGGGTCCCTGTGCCCGCCCTGAGCCCTCTCGCCTTGGCTTCCCAGCCCCAAGGAGAACCATTAACAGCCTCAAGAGGAACCAGTTTGGATGCGACCGATGCTGGGACACTTTTTTGGCTCCAGCAGAGACGACCTCCCTGTTCCAGTCTGGCATCTCGCTCCCATCCAAGGAATCCCCTAGCTGCTCCTGGCATCCCCCAGCCCCTCCAGGCACACCTCAGCCCATCCCCAGCAACCCCCAGTTCCTCCCCAGCATTCCCAGTGCCCCCCAGCACCCCCAGCCCCTCCTGGTGCACTCCAGCCCATTCCCACCACCCCCTAGTCCATCCCCAGCACCCCCCAGTCCATGCCCATCATCCTCCAGCCCCTTCTGGCACCCCCCAGCCCCACCTGACATCTCCCAGTCCATCCCCAGCATCCTCCAGCCTCTTCTGGCCTCCTCCAGCCCCTTCTGGCATCCCCCAGCCCATCCCCATCATTTCCCAGTCCATCCCCAGCATCCCTCAGCCCATCCTGGTACACCCCAGCCCATACCCAGCACCCTCCAGTTTCTCCCTGGCACACCTTCACTCCACCCCCAGCACCACTACCCCCCATCCATCACCAGCATCTCTCAGTCCGTTGCCAGCATCTCCCAGTCCATCCCCAGCATCCTCCAGCCTCTTCTGGCCTCCTCCAGCCCCTTCTGGCATCCCCCAGCCCATCCCCATCCTTTCCCAGTCCATCCCCAGCATCCCTCAGCCCATCCTGGTACACCCCAGTCCATCACCAGCACCCCCCAGTTCTTCCCCAGCACTGACCCCCATCCATCCCCAGCACCCCCTAGCCCATCCCCATCATCCTCCAGCCCCTTCTGGCAGCCCCCCGTGCATCCCC